GGCCCGCCGGTGGCCGCCGCGTACTTGGCGCGCAAGCTGTACTGCTGCGCCGCGGTGAGGTGCAGCGGCCCCGAGCAGCCACCGCTGCACTGGCTGGCCTCGCTGGAGCGCCGCGACGCGTCCGTGGAGATGGGGTCGTAGGAGTCGGCGGAGCTGGCGTTGTGGAGGCGGCCGGGGCCCAGAGGCGAGGCCTCGCTGGAGCGGCGGCTGGAGAAGTAGGGGGAGATGCCGGAGGAGCGGCGGCTCACGGTGTAGGCCGAGCTGACCGTGCTGGTGGTGCTGTCGCGGCGCTCCTGCAGCTGGCTCAGCATGGTCACCTCGCTCCCGGACAGCTCGGCCAGCCGCGGGCTGGGCAGCAGCTCCGCCGGCCCGGCGCTGCTGAGGTTTTCCAGGATGGCGCCTGCGGGGAAGGAGACAGGTGAGCTCCGGGACGGGGCGGGGTGCTCGGCCGGCTTTGAGCGCGCTGAGCCTGCAGCTGCGCGAGTCCCAGAGCAGGGCCCGGCGCACAGCGCACACTCAGCAAAGCTTTGTGAATGAAGAGGAAAGCAAGGGGACACTAGGGAACGAATGAGGGCGCTTATTGTTAAGGGTGGCCGAGTACCAGCGTTAGCTCCACCACCGCCTGGCTGGCCCTGCGTTCTCACTGGCATCTGGCCTGTTTCTCCAGCTGTAGAATGGGAAGATAAAAACGCGCCTCTCTGTGGCCTGGCTATTCAGAGAAGGAGAGCAGGAGCCCGGGACGGCCTGGCGTGGACCCTGGACCTCACCATCTCTGCACAGGTGTTGCCAGCTGGGCTTCCTGGGAGGATGCTCCGGGCCCCCACCTGTCCCAGGGAGCAAGGGCAGCAGGGCTGGAGGAGACAAGAACTGTGATGCAGGGACGGCCTCAGCTGGTCTCAGAGGGAGCCCCGGAGCTCAAATGGCCCTTGTGTGCTGTACGGAGTTGGGCTGAGATGGCTGGGCCACTGTACCCCCGCACTGACCAGTCCTGGGATGTGCGCCACCCCAGGAAGGGGCACGACCTAGGGTGAGGCAGCTGTCTGTAACCAAGGGGGTCCCTGTAGGGCCTGAGAGCTGAAGGCCATCTGCCAGCAGTCTGCCCAACAGTGGGTGACAAATCCTGCCTTCAAGGGGTATCTGGGAGGTGCATCAGAGTGTCCCCCACAATGTACTGTCGGTCCCTGTAGGACAGAAAAGGGGCTGGGTGCCCTGCTGTGCCTGGTGCCCAGCACACTGCCTGGTACAGAGTCAGCCCTCAGGAAATGGTCACTGAAGACACCTTCCATCTCAAAGCCTGGCCAACACCTGCAAGGCTGAGCACAATGCTGCCTCCTCCGCGAAGCCCTCCCTGCTCTTCCCCAGCTCTCTCTTCCTCTGAATGCCCTAACTTAGCTCTGTCTTCGGAGCTGCCTGGTTTGTTGCACGGTCAAGCGTGCATCTGACGGCTCGGCCTCCAGGTCTGGTATTACACTGCTTTCCTTCCTGGGGCCCTCGCCACGGTGCCCCACAGCAGAGGTCCAATAAATGACTGCGAGGCTGGCCGACGAGGAGGACGATGTGAGAAAGCTGGCCCTTTCTGGGGTCACAGGAATGCAGCATGGTTTAGCGGAAGGCACGTGGGCTCCGGAGCCACACGGCTCTGGGGTCCGCCACTGATGTGGGCGGGGCACTGTCACAGCTCTGAGCTTGGGTTTCCGCATCTGTAAAATGGGGCTGGTGAGACCTGACCTATTGCAGGCACCCAGTGAGACTGCACCTGGCACCTGGTAGGTCGGCACCTACTTGGTACTGCCCCCGGCTCCGCCCCCGCCCCGCCCTGGGGCCGCTTACCACTTCCAGGGAGGGGAGGCAGCTTGGTGGTCCGGGTGTGTGGAGCCGGCCCCACCCATGAGCAGGAATCCTTGAGTGACTTCAGCTTCTCCTTCTTGAGCTGCTCGAACTGGTGCATGGTGGCCACGTGTTTGCGCAGCTGCAGGCCACCAGCCGAGGGGGCAGCCAGGGCGGAGGCGGTGGCCCCCAGGGCTGCATCGTCTAGCGCCGTCAGGTCTCCCAGGCTCCCGGGCCCCGTCCCCGGCATCTCCACGCCGCTGTCATTGTTGGGGGTATTGCCCTGGGGAGAGGGCCCGCTGCTGCAGGACGACTGGGCCCTGGGGCTGGACTGACACAGCTGCGGGGCACAGCGAGAAGGCGCACACTCAGAGGGTGTGAGGACCTACCTGCTCCTCCTGCACCCACATGCACACTGGCATGCCCACTGGCTGCCAAAGCACCACTTGTCTCAGGACAGTCAAGTCACTTCACCCCTCTGAACCCGAACGGCCCCTGCTGCAGGGATAATGATGGACGGAAAGCACCCAGCATGCAGAAGGCACCACTACTGTTAGCTCCACAGCTCCATCTGCGCGCCTACGTTCTCCCAGCCCGCGTCCGGGCTGAAGCTCAGCCTGCTGAACTTGAAATGTTTGGACACGTTGAGGCTGTGACCCCCGGAGGCTGCACAGCCTGATCAAGTTGGCATGAAAGAAGACAAAGAAGCATTCCCAGCGACAGCCACGTGCCGCACGGTGAAGCGGGGGACAAAGCCTGCAGCCCTGGTGCCTTCTGCTGGACGGGTGATCACAACAGGGCAACACCAGGTTGTCGGGAAGGATGGTCGGGGAGGGTTGCATGCAGCTGCTGCCCAGAGGGCCGCCCGGAATGGCACGTCAGCTGAGCTCCTGGCTGGTTTCCGATGGGCTGACGGACATGGAAGGGGGCAGGTGGTGTGGGCAGAGAACTCGCTGCATGCCTACACGGAGTGAATGCCACAGAGTTCCCCTACATCTCCTGGCATCCGGGATCTGGCAGCCCAGGTGAGGCTCATCATCTCAGATGTAGCAGCTCTGGGCACCTTCCCAGGTGGAATGCCCCCAATCCCAGGCCTTTCCTAGGGAAGCTGCAATGCTCCAACTGCCAGGGAGAGCAGTCCACACTCCTCTCCTTGGTACCCAAGACCCCCTGTAGGTCGGCCACCCACCTCTGCAGCCTGAGCTAACGCTACCAGTCCTCTGTCCTCGCTGCTTTCTGCACCAGCCAGCTTCCCATGTCCCACCTGAGTGCCCTTCCCAGGGCCATGTCTGCTGGAGGGCCGGGACTGGGGTCAGCACAGATGGGAAGACTCCCAAGTGGAGTGAGTGAATGTCGGGCTGGATGACAGGAGAGCTCCGCCCCCGCCCCTTCACTCCCGCCGCAGCCCCCACACCCGCCCACCCGGCTGTCCGCTCACCTCAGTACTGTCTATCCTTAGAAGAGGTAGAGTTGGAAAAAGGTGGAGACAAAGAACAAGTGGTTAGAACAAAAGGCGCGCAGGCCAAAGGGGCCGGGGCAGAGACAGGATAGTAGGGAAAGAAGGGAAGCAGGTGGGCTGGCCAAGAGAGGCCGACACACAGAAGCCGCCCACGGCCGCGCAGAGGGACGCACGAGGGCTGCACGGGATTGCCGGCTAGAGGTGGAACGCATCCGGCACGGACAGGTTCTGTGTGAGCCCCAAGGTGGTGAAGGGAGGAGGCCAGGTTGGAGACAGGAGGGTCACCGTCACACCCTTAGATTGGGGAGCCTGGGGCAGAGCGCCCAGCTGTAGCAGGGGCCGCAGGCTCTGCGCAGGGTGATGGAAGTGCCCCGCTGCCAGCTGGGGAAAGGCTGTGTGGCCCGGGGCCGCGGCTGCCGGCTCTGCTTACCACGGAGCTCTCGGTCTTGATGGCTTTGACGTGCAGACCGTCGTCTGCGGCCTGGCTGCTGCTGGCGGCCTCGGTGCTCTCCTGGCCCCGGCCGCCCGGCTTGGCGCTGGCCTCGTTGTCCCCGTTCTCTTTGAGCAGCGGGGCGCGGAGGTGCGCGTCATTGCGCTGCTTCTTGGTGACGTGAGCGTCCGGGCCGTGCACTGTTTTCACGTGCTTGCGGAGCGAGCTGGGGTCCGTGTATCTCTTGGTGCAGCCTGGGATCTTGCAGATGTAGGGTTTCTGGAAAGAGACCCAGGCCTGTTATAAAAACCCCAAAACTAAACCCGTTGCCATCGAGTCAATTCCAACTCATAGCGACCCTACAGGACGGAGTAGAAGTGCCCCCACTGGGTATCCAAGGAGCGCCGGGTGGATTGGAACTGCCGAGCTCTTAACCACTGCACCAGCAGGGCTCGGAGAGATCACGCTAGCACTCAATTCCTCTGATGAGGAAAGAGCTCGCAGAGGCAAGGAAGCATGCACACACGTGTGCACACACATCCACACAGTTGCATGCACACTTACACGCCTACACACACACACCACACCTCTCCAAAGCTGACCCTTTATCTGTAGACTTGGAGGGGTTCAGATGTCTTTAGAATTCCTCACACTTCTTACAAGCATTGGCGCAAAGCCCCTTTCTCAACCTCCATCAACATTCTTTCCTGAGTCTGCCTGAGCGACAGAAATTGAGTGGTCGGGCCGGACCTGGAGGGCGTGCAGCAGACACCACTGCCTGACTTCCCTTCCTGGGCTCTCTCGCCCTGCCAGGGACTCTAGCTACCTGGGGTGGTGGCGGCTGGGGGCTGAGGCCACAGCAGACCCAGTCAGCACCAGCAGCTGGAGTAGGGCACTGCCGGCTGCAGACAGCTCTGGGGACGGGGCTCAGATCCCTGCTGTGACCCCATCCTGCAGTGATGCAGCTGTCCCGAATCTAACCCCTGCTTGCTGTGGAAATGAGGAATTTCAATCTTGGTGGCTCAGGGATGTGTGAACCCGTGTCCCAGGATGTTTTCACAACTGCAGATGCGCCAGCATTCCTGGGTTCCAAACCCATGGCCCAACCTGCAAGCTTCGTGGTGCTGGGGACAGAGATTTCATCCCTCCAGCCGCTCTGAGAACCAGGGAGGAGACCCCTGTGGAGTGGCACAGTGGAGCTCAGGAGACCAGACAGGGCACCCGGTCACGACAGCAGCTCATGTGGATGGCGTGCTGGCCTTGGAGGGTGCTACCTGGGTGATTACAGACGAGAAAACTGAGGGACGGGAGGGTGGGTGTGTGAGGGGTCTTGCAGGCCAGCTGGTCAGTTCTCCCTCTCAGAGAAGAGGCGGCGGCCCAGAGTGGGTGACGCTCGCCCGCAGCCTCCCAGCTGGACGGTGGCTTACAGGACCCCCACCCGGCCCGAGTCTCTGTCCAAGGCTACACAGCAGGTCAGTGCAGGGGGAGGGCACTCGGGCCATCGACCGGCCTATAGATGTCCAGAAGCCACTGGGGGATGCGCTGACGAGCGTGTCAGCGGGGCGGGAGGTACCTCGTTGGAGTGGGTGCGGTTCTGGTGCTTGGCACGGTCGGAGGCGTTGGAGAAGGCCTTGTTGCAGGCCTCGTGCTCACACACGTACGGCTTCTCCCCCGTGTGGGATCGCAAGTGTGTCTTCAGGTTCTCCAGGCGGGAGTAGGCCTTGGAGCAGCCCTCGAACTGGAATGAGGCGGGCTGGGTGAGTGAGGGCTCCATCCACCCCCAGCAGCCTGACCCCAGGGCCGGCCCGCACCCCTCCCTCCTCTCTGCCTGAGCACCTCCAGGGTGGACATTAACCAGTGACTTCTCTTTCCGATTATAAGATGACATACGGTCACTCTAGGACAAACAGGGAAATGAAAACCACGGGCCAGACATCCCCGTCCACCTCCTGCGCAATTCAGCCCTGAGCCCTTCTTTAATACAAGATGGGGAGAACCTTCCCGTGCCACTAGACCCTCTCGGTAAACATGGTTCTTAACTGCTACCCAACGTCACCCCCTAGACTGGAGCTTTTCTGTCCTCTACAGGTGCGGAGCCAAGTGTCCATCGACGGAAGGACAGATAGACAAAAGAAGATGCAGACATACGGACTGTTACCCAGCCGTAAAGAAAACTGAAATCCCAATGCTACCACCGCACGAACCTTGCGGACACTATGCTGAGTGAAATCAGTCAGGCCCCAAAGGTACAGATTACAAGATTCCATTTCTATGAAACGTCCAGAAGAGGCAAATCCAAACACAAAAAAAAAAGGTTAGTGGTTGCCAGGGGCTGAGCAGGGAGTGAGGTGGGGAGGGACGGCTAACAGCTATAGGGCTTCTTTTGGGGTGATGAAAATGTGCTGGAATTAGAGGTGATGGTTGTAAAACTTTGAGACTATGCTAAAAACCACTGAATTGTCTGTTTTAAACGAGAAAATTTTATGGTATGTGAATTATATCTCAATTAAAAAAAAAAACTTGTCAGTAAAGGTAGCGTATCTCTAAATTCTGGACACCAGTGATTTTAAGACACAGCCTGATTTTAGGGATGTTAACACAAGAAAAAGATGGTTGTTTCAGAAATAATGAAGTACGGTAGTTCACAAAGAGGATGTCCCAGACGCTTCGGTCACAGCCACATCACGGTGTCCCTGGACCACCTCCCTTTGAAGGGGAACGGTTTCTGTGTGTTAAAAATAGGAAGCCTCGCCTGTTACAGTATAGTCACCTTGCCTATTGACTCCGTAAGGGGCGTGAAAGGTCTTATCGTTGAACTCTTTTTAAGAACACAACCAAAGTGGTTTTTAACTCGTAAGTCCTCAAGCTGAGAGTCACCAGTGAAGTGTGCTCTGTGCAGGAACAGACTGCGGGTCACCTTGGAGCCAGCCCCTCCACCAAGGCCTTGCCCCACCAACCGTGGGGTGCGGCTGGGCCTTGGGGCTCCCAGCGATGCAGACAGGTGAGGAGCAAACCCAGGAGTGAGAACTGGTGGGGCAGGAACAGGGGACCCATCCGCCAGACCTGCCCAAACAAGGAGCCCACTTCACCCCAAGTTTGCCTTGGGTCAGACACGGGCAAATGGGGGCCACCTCATCCAGCCGACGGTCTTAAGCGCACTGCTGCAGGAAGGGGTCGGGGAGGCACGGCCCGGGGCCCGCTCACCGTGCACTTGTGCGGTTTCTCGCCCGTGTGCCGGCGCATGTGTACCACCAACATGTACTGCGCTTTGAAGGGCTTCTGCTCCCGCGTGCAGGCCCGCCAGCGGCACACAAACTCCTTCTTCTCCCCGTGGATGTGGTCATTGTTGATGTGCTGCAGGGAGCAAGTTCGTGGGCGGTGAGCCTGACCACCCACCCTACCTACTGCGGGCTGACCACCCGGCCCCGGGCCCCACCTACTGTGTGCTGACCACCCACCCTACCTACTGCAGGCTGACCACCCAGCCCCGAGCCCCACCTACTGTGTGCTGACCACCCACCCTACCTACTGCGGGCTGACCACCCAGCCCCGGGCCCCACCTACTGTGTGCTGACCACCCACCCTA